AACACGTTAGACTGCACCCCATAAACACAATCAAGCCTAGAAAAAACCCAGTCAACCACCCCTTTAATGATTTTTGAAATATGAAATGGAAAAAAGATCAAATGATTTTCTCAATATGAAACTAAAGTCACTGTTGTAATGAGTGAGTCATTGAATCATTCATTCTTTTGATTTGTTCGAACAGGTGATTCATTTAGAAACAAAGCAAGTGACTGCCTTTTTGAATGAGTCACTGAATCATTGACTGACTTGATTTGTTCAAACAGCTGATTCATTTAGAAACAAAGCAAGTGCCTGCCTTTTTGAATGAGTCACTAAATCATTGACTTACTCGATTCATTCAAACAGTTCATTCTTTCAGAAATGAATCAATTGACTGTTTTTATGAATGAGTCACTGAATCATTGACTTACTCGATTCGTTCAAACAGCTGATTCATTTAGAAACAAATCAAGTGACCGTCTTTATGAATGAGTCACTGAATCATTGACTTACTTGATTCGTTCAAACAGCTGATTCATTTAGAAAAAAACAAGTGCCTGTCTTTTTGAATGAGTCACTGAATCATTAACTTACTTGATTCGTTCAAACAGCTCATTCATTTAGAAACAAAGCAAGTGACTGCCTTTTTGAATGAGTCACTGAATCATTGACTTACTCGATTCATTCAAACAGTTCATTCTTTCAGAAACGAATCAATTGACTGTTTTTATTAATGAGTCACTGAATCATTGACTTACTCGATTCATTCAAACAGTTCATTCTTTCAGAAACGAATCAAATGACTGTTTTTATGAATGAGTCACTGAATCATTGACTTACTAGATTCGTTCAAACAGCTGATTCATTTAGAAACAAAGCAAGTGCCTGTCTTTTTGAATGAGTCACTGAATCATTGACTTACTTGATTTGTTCAAACAGCTGATTCATTTAGAAACAAAGTAAGTGCCTGCCTTTTTGAATGAGTCACTGAATCGTTGACTTACTCGTTCATTCAAACAGCTGATTCATTTAGAAACAAAGCAAGTGCTTGCCTTTTTGAATGAGTCACTGAATAATTGATTTACTTGATTCGTTCAAACAGCTGATTCATTTAGAAACGAAGCAAGTGCCTGCCTTTTTTAATGAGTCACTGAATCATTGACTTACTCAATTCATTCAAACAGCTGATTCATTTAGAAACAAAGCAAGTGCCTGTCTTTTTGAATGAGTCACTGAATCATTGACTTACTCGATTCATTCAAACAGTTCATTCTTTCAGAAACGAATCAAATGACTGTTTTTATGAATGAGTCACTGAATCATTGACTTACTTGATTCGTTCAAACAGCTGATTCATTTAGAAACAAAGCAAGTGCCTGCCTTTTTGAATGAGTCACTGAATCATTGACTTACTTGATTCGTTCAAACAGCTGATTTATTTAGAAACAAATCAAGTGACCATCTTTTTGAATGAATCACTGAATCATTTACTTGCTTGATTCATTCAAACAGCTGATTTATTTAGAAACAAATCAAGTGACCGTCTTTATGAATGAATCATTGAATCATTGACTCACTCATTTTGTACAGTTGTCTAAATTATTCAGAAACTAATCAAATGACCGTCTTTATGAATGAGACACTAAATCATTGGCATACTCGATTCATTCAGACTGTTCATTCTTTCAGAAACAAATCAAATGACTGTCATTATGAATGAGTCACTGAATCATTGACTGGATTCGTTCAAACGGCTGATTCATTCAGAAGTTAACTAAGTGATTCTCTTTATGAATTAGTCAGTCGTCCTGCATCATGTTCATCAGTGTAAGGTGACAGACAGGTCTGGATGTGTTTTTGATGTTTGTGGCTGTAGGTTTCACTCGGCGGCCGGTGACGGCGGAGGTTTGCCGTGTTCACACCTGCAGAACTACGACCCCGACCGTGCTCTCACCGACTACATCTCTCGTCTGGAGGCTTTGCAGAGACGTCTGGGGAGTGTGCAGTCAGGTAACCACGGCAACATGCCTGTCACTTTAAATACTCCAGCTCGTTATAGAGACGGAACGCATTTAGGCCACGCCCACCAATCCAACGCTCTCCACTGACTCTGTATTGCGGGAAGCTGCCTCCTTGTCATTTCTGACTTATAACAAAAAACAGAACAATGTCTAAAAGCTGCTGTGTGAGAAGATGTACAGCAAACAAGCTAAAATACCCAGAACTACGCTTTTATAAGCTGTCGAGCCAAAAAAATGAGCGTTTAAGGACACAAATAGTTAGATGTCAGTATTTCATTCGGATGATTTCTCAAACAAAAGGAAGGTTAGGAAAAGGGACACTAGACCAATATAATTTAGTTTCTCAATATATCTGCTCCTCTCAGGTTCACATCGGGTGGTCAAATAATCATGGTTAAAAATAATGAATGGTTCCGGTCTCCGATTACGTTTCCCTCCAGTGTGCGCAGTTCTCAGAGTAATAAACACGTTGCGCTCTACTTTTGTGACCCTCGTTTTTTGGGGTCGACAGCTTTTAAAAACATAGTTTTAAAAAATCTATATATTATATTAAAACAGTAAGCCCCGTGAAGCCGTGGTTTACAGTGAATTTATAACAGCTAAGGGGAATTTAGTCTCTCAATATATCTGCTCCTCTCAGGTTCACATCGGGTGGTCAAATAATCATGGTTAAAAGTAATGAATGGTTCCGGTCTCCGATTACGTTTCCCTCCAGTGTGCGCAGTTCTCAGAGTAATAAACACGTTGCGCTCTACTTTTGTGACCCTCGTTTTTTGGGGTCGACAGCTTTTAAAAACATAGTTTTAAAAAAATCTATATATTATATTAAAACAGTAAGCGCCGTGAAGCCGTGGTTTACAGTGAATTTATAACAGCTAAGGGGCGTTG